TAACTCTTTTTTCAAGGCTCTAGTGTCAGAAGATTTGTGGTGGGGTGAGGATACCTTTGCTAACTCTTATCCTAGAATTTTTCTCCTATCCTAGTCCCAAGAAGCCATAGTAGCCTTGAGCCTTTCCCCCTCACCCTCAGGAACCTCTTGGAAACTAAACCTCAGAAAGCCATTAAGAGAGGTAGAGATTGCTGATTTAGCAACCAAAGGATCTAGAAACTTAATTCAGCTGGCAAGTTCTCCACTAACTCTTTTTTCAAGGCTCTAGTGTCGGAATATCAGGTTTATCCCTTTCTTGTTAAGGTTTAGAGCTCAAATATCCTCCCTAGAATCTCCTTTGTTTGAGAGGCTTGCTTAAAGAGAATAAATGAATGTGATCTGACCCAGAAAATTTTAGAGGCAGATTATCTATCTTCCCCCATGTCTGTCCTCTTTGCCTCTGTGATGGAGAGACAACTGAACACATTCTTCTCCATTGTCCTGTCACAAGGATGTCTGGTGCTACTTCCTGAACTTAGTGGGATACAGGTTGGTGTTCTTAGGGAAGGTGGTGGACATCATTTGGCAATGGCAAGGTAGAGGGCTAGGAAAAAGAGGAAGACTCTACTGGGTTACAGTGACTCATGAAGTCTTGTGGGGCATTTGGGAAGAAAGGAATAATAGAATTTTTGAAATAAAGCTAGAAATGTTGGGTGCTACTATCTGGAGACTTTTGCTCCTGTTGCAAAGATGACATCTGTGCGGGTTCTACTATCTTTGGCTGCTCATTTAGATTGGCCTCTTTATCAGTTGGATGTGGAAAATGCATTCTTGAATGGAGAATTACATGAAGAAGTTTATATGTCTCTCCCACCAGGGATGTATGGCACGGGCATGGAGGGAAAAGTGTGCAAGTTGAAGAATTCTCTCTATGGACTCAAACAGTCACTTAGGGCGTGGTATGAAAGGTTTAGGGCTGCCCTTGTTAACTTTGGTTATGTACAAACTCAGTTTGATCATACCCTCTTTGTGAAGAAGAGAAGTTCATTGGTGGTATATCTCATAGTCTATGTTGATGATGTTGTAGTGACTGGCAATGATGTGATAGGGATTGATGATCTTAAATCTTTCCTTCATACAAAGTTTGAGATCAAAGATCTAGGGGAGTTGAGGTATTTCCTTGGCATTGAAGTGGCTCGGTTTAAGGATGGAATTTTTATCTCTCAACGAAAGTATATGCTAGACTTGCTCACTGAAACAGGCAAAATGGGTGCAAGACTAGTGGCTACTCCTATTGATATGAGTCACAAACTTTCTGCCTCGGATGGAGAACTATTGAAGGATAAGGGAGTATTTCAAAGGTTACAAGGGAAACTGCTATATCTTTGTATGACTCGGCCTGACATTGCATATGTTGTCAGCTGCATTAGCTAGTTCATGCATGCTCCCAGGGACACTCATATGTCAACAACAGAATGAATTTTATGTTATTTGAAGAGTACTCTTAGGAAGGGCATTCTTTTTGCTAAGCATAGTCATATGAAACTGGATTCTTACACAGATGTTAGCTGGGCGGGAAACATTGATGATAGGAGGTCAACTTCTGGATACTGTAGCATGGTGGCGGGTAATTTTGTTTCTTGGAGGAGCAAGAAACAATCTGTTGTTGCCGGATCTTCAGCTGAGGCCGAGTACAGGGCTATGGCTCATGGAGTGTTAGAGTTACTTTGGCTTTGATCCTTGATGGAGGAACTAGGTGTTGAGTATGATAAGCCATTGATGCTATATTGTGATAAACAGGCCGCCATCAACATTGCCCACAATCTGGTGCAACATGATAGGACTAAACATATTGAAGTTGATAGGCATTTTATCAGAGAAAGAGTGGCTTCTAGAGAAGTTTGTCTACCATTCATTACATTTGAAGAACAGTTAGCTAACATTCTTACCAAGGGAATCTCCAAGGCCAAACTACAACATGACAGTGGCAAGTTGGGCATGATTGACATCTATGCTCAGCTTGAGGGGGAGTGTAGAGAGAATGGGCCAAATGGCCCATAGGATGTTCTTATTTATTTATGTTTCTGTTTCTTTTGTTAATGGGCCTTTTATGTTTCTTTGTGTTTATGTTTAATTAAGTTAAACACCCAATTAAGGGCCTCTCTGTAAATACAAAACTCTGTAAATTACTTTTTAATAAAAGGATTAGGGAAGGGAGTGGGGTTTGAACAACTTCTCTCCCAAAACCCAATTGCCGCCAACTTCTTCTTCTTCTCTCTTTGCTGCTGATATCTAATCCTTTTTCACAACTTTTAAATCACTCCTCTCATTCTTTTGGACTGTTTTTCTTCTAAGACCTAACTTCCCACATTATTTTTCTCTGTAACCTCTGGATGATTAATTCTGAAGCTTTCAAAGGACTCTCCTTAAATGATCTTCAAAGCAACCTTTTAGCAATCCTGTACTCCTCTCCAAGAATTGAGTCTTCTTTGAGATCTTCTTCTAGAGAGGAAGCAGTGTTGACTCTAAGCTTTGATGGTAGTGCCCAAGGCTCTACAGGTCAAGCAAGAATTGGAGATGTTATCCGTGGGGAGGAATATCTGTTGGGCTTTTAGTGGTCCGATTGGGAAGGCAGATGCCACAACAGCGGAGGTCTTGGCTGCACACTTACAGGAATTCGTTTTGCTAAACAGCTAGGTTTTTCCTCTCTAACCATTGAAGGGGATTCCACAAATACTATCTTGGTTAAGGGAGAAGGAAACAGGGCCTTGGAGACTAGCACACTTGCTAGCTGAAGCTAGGGATATTTTGGGCTCTTTGAATGTAAAGCTGGTCTGGATTCCTAGGGAGCCAAAACACTGTTGCTGACAGCCTAGCAAAATCAGCGGTTCTGAGAGAAAGTTTGTTTAGTGGAAATCATTTACCTTTGTAATTTTGCCTTAACCGTTTCAGGCTACTGTACATCCTCTCTTGTTCTTCTTTCTTTCACTTTTCAATAAAAAAGTTAACTTTGCTTAAAAAAAAAAATTCGACTTTGACAAAGCTGCACCTGCACCTGAGCAGCAAAGGTTCGTACATGTTTCCTTACCTTTCCCTCTCCTTTCATTCAAACCAAACACAGCCTTATTTACAAGCTTCTTGAAAGAGAGAAATCTTGATTCTTGAGCAACACACATCTATCTTCTTTCTCTTGCATACCTTTTGAATGAATGGCCTTGAAGCACTTGGATAGAAGACTTTTCACACTTTGAATGACTTAAGGCTGCAAGACTTAACCACAGAATTAGTAAAACCAGTGAGTGAGTTTATTATCATCAAAACACATTTGGCTACTGCCAACAAAGGAAAATTGTAATGGAAGGGGGACTCAAAAAATGGTGTTGCAATGGTTGCAACACAAAAAACACAGCGCATGATAATATTGGAGCCACTTGAAAGAGCTGAGAACCTTATCATCAGAACGGAATGCAAGTTTTATTTGGACCTATAGATCAGAAAATATACTGGCCAATGCCATGACCAATAAAGGGGTAAACAGTGTATACATGGTTTGGGGTAATCTGCTGTAAGGAACTTAATGTAGGGTGAGGGACAAGTGCCTCGAGAGAGTGCATGGCATTCCTATTTCTTTTGAGATGATTGGCATACTGTACATATTCATTCTTTAGTTCAAGTAAGGAAATGTTTCATAGTTCCTAATAAGAAAACAAGTTGAATTTACAAAATTACAAGACCTGGATCTTAGTGAATAAATAACTCAATTCACCAAATGACACCAAAATCAAACAAAATAAACAAGTACTGACCTCTGTAAAATCAGATGAAAGAAAATTTGTGTGATTGCATTTAGAAGACTCTAACACCTCTCCAATGTTCTTCTTTAAACTACTATTACCCTTTAAGACATTCTATCCTTAAGATGCCAACAAACTAGAGAGTAACTTTGAAAGCCTCAAAGATGCCAAAATCTAAATTACCCAGAAAAAGAAATTGTGATCAGTTTAGGAATGTGAAGAAACTAAATTCCATCTTCCATGGTTTCTTTCATTGCTTTCTACACCTGCATTATGATGGTATCTTTAGGGCTGATAAGTTGATTTGTTTAGAACTCTTTTTTTCTCCCCCTACAGCAAGAGACAAACTGGCAGGATGTAAGAAGTGCAGTGAAGCGTGCTAGTGTCCAGAACGTTGTCAGAAGCTATCCAAGTTTAAAGATGTTTCTTGTTTTCTTGCTGGGTTCTGGGCAATAAATCTAAACTTTGTTGGTCAAGGCATTGTCTACACTGTCAGCAGACAGGACTCCAATTAAATAGTGTACCTATCTCCCTTGCTAACTATTTGTCCCTCTAACTATATGTCTATGCTCACAATTCCCAAGGGCCCAAGCACTCATTCTTCAACCAGACTGCTACAACTGCTCATGACTCCACCTTCCATCAGTATGTTCTGATATTTGAATTTTTTTTTCAGCTTTAACCCTCGCTGAACTGCCAGCAGTTCTGCCCTTATGGATTTTCCAAACTTAATAGGTAGAGTGCCAAGGTATGTCCATCACTATTACTGAAAATGCCCCCCGCTCCTAAAATTCCTGGGCCAAAGTTGCAAGCAACAGCCTACCATCAATGGAGAATGAAGAGAAAACATCCATGGACTAGTTTGCTGTATTTTTTTTTATCTTCTTCCTCGCCCTGTGGAAGCCATGGTCTGAGGGGTTCCTTCTGGCTTTTTATGGATGATGTAAGAAGTGCTTTCTGCAGTCTTCTGTTATTCAAATTCTGTGGCATCACAAACTCTATAGTTTACCTTCTTCCTATACATGGAAAACTCTGACAGATAACTTTTTGTTTTTCATCTTTTCTAACCAACACATACATATAAAGAAGAAGAAGAAAGAAAGAATAGAACAAAAACTTTGATTCCAACATCAAAAATTAATCAAGACCTTCTGTTTATATTAATAGAAAAAGTTTGTTGTACTTTCCCATTTATCCATTAATGTGACTAGGGATTGTTTTAAGCAGGGAGCTGTAGGTTTGCGACTGAGAGTATATGACCGGCTGATTTGCTTTGCCTGTTGTCATTTTGCTGCACACCTTGAAGCAGTCAACCGCCGAAATGCTGACTTTGATCATATCTATCGAACAATGGTCTTTAGCCGGTCATCTAACCTGTTTAATGCTGCTGCTGGTATGCTGCCATACCTGTTTTTGTATTGCTCTCTTGCCTGCTTCGCATATTTATGTTGGCTACTTTATTCTTCTGGCTTGCCATTGGTCCTCTCTGTTGCAGCTGGTGTCTCATCTGCTGTTCAGTTGCTTCGTGGTACAAATGTATGTACATACTTTAATTGGTCTCATAGGAGTCTGATATTAAAATTTATTTTACTTTTTTAGTCATTTTGATCTTCAAATTTATTATCTTGTGAGTTATTGGTTCTTTAATGTTAAGAGTTAAAGGGCATTGTTAATCTTACAGGCAGCTGGTGTCCATACTGAAGATGCAAAACCAGAGTTACCTGATGCAGATATGGTTGTATTTTTTGGTGATTTCAACTACCGGCTTCATAGCATTTCTTATGATGAGGCAAGGGACCATGTTTCACAAAGATGCTTTGATTGGCTTAGAGAAAGGGATCAGCTTAGGAAAGAAATGAAAGCTGGGAAAGTTTTCCAAGGGATGCGTGAAGCGCTGATAACATTTCCTCCCACATATAAGTTTGAAAAGCACAAACCAGGTTTAGCAGGTAAACTTCAGTATAGAAAAGTATAACTTCTGGGTTGACTGGCACGAAATAAATTTTTTTATGGTAACATTAATAGAAAAAAGACATACAACCTAGCACGTGATGAGGTAACACCCACATACAAGAAACCAACAGAAAATACTAGTTACTTATCAGTTAGTGACTTGTCTATGTTAGAATGATATTGTAGAGAAGATGGGCCGAATGGCCCATAGACAGTTAGTTCATGTTATGTTATGTTATGTTATGTTATGTTTCTCTCTGTTGTGGGCCTTATTCTGGGCCCATACTCTGTATTATTCTGTTTTTTGTATTTTCCTGCTCTCTCAAGGGCCTCTCTGTAATTTGTCAAAGATT